ATCAGAGAAAATGAATCACACAAAGAAAATTTGTATATTACGCTTATTGATAGATCCTTGGATTCTCTATAAGGATGATTTGTAGAGATTTAATTTTTACCTTCTTGGGCACCTCTGTCGGGACTGTATAAATGAATTTATGCAACTGTGGTCTTTCTGTCAGCCTTAAGTTATTACACAGTTCCATGTCTTGGTTCTAGAGCAGGCATTTTTTCAAGTGCTCTCAATCCGTTCTCTGGAGAAGTATAACAATAAGATGACTTTCTGCTCAGAGTAGGAGGATCGGCAAAAAAAGTGTTGTTTTTTTTTACTTATAATAAGTAGTCAGAAGTATCACTCTGTCCCAAAGAGTCCATACAGTAACAGAAGGCCATTTCAGCTGTCTGACAAGTGAATCATTTACAGCTACATTCACATTACCAGGTTGAAGTGACACAAATCTGCAAATTTCCAGCATGTAGATCTGATTTTCTTTAGAACTCTGTGGACAGAAAAATCTCAAGTCTTCAAATCGGGTATTGAGCCACTCATATGTGGTCCTAGATTCCATTCATGTACCTTTTTCCCCAGTGCACATGTGCATATCAGCAGCATCATCATCATCCAGTGTCCGCAGTGCGACACTACAACAATAAAGGACAGCAAATGTAGTGTCTACACTATATGGCCAAAAGTTTGCGGACTCTTGACCACCACACCCATATGTGAACATCCCATTGCAGATTTAGTCCCCCTTTGCTGTTATAATAACCTCCCACTTCTAGGAAGGCTTTCCACTAGATTTTGGAGGGTGACTGTGGGATCTGTGTTCATTTAGCTACAAGCACATTGGTGAGGTCAGGCACTGATGTCAAGTGAGGAGGGCTGGGGTGCAGTCAGCATTCCAGTTCATCCCAAAGGTCTTCTGGGTGGTTGAGATCAGGGCTCTATGTGGGAGTTTTTCCACACCAACCTCAGCAAGCCATGTCTTCATGGAGTTTACTTTGTGCACAGGGGCATTGTCATGCTGGAGCAGGTTTGGACAAAGACATTCTAGACAATTGTGTTGCGTTGTGGCAACAGTTTTTGATGGTCAGCTGTTCACAGATGTTTGTCCATATAGTGAATATTCAGTGGAAAGGTGGAAATGGGTGATTTACTTGATAGTTAGGGAATCAGTCCATGCAAAATTGGAATACAGTGGAATACAGTCCATACAGAGTACTGTAGTGAAACAGTTGCCCAAGATATCAGTGCATGCAAGCAGGGAAAGCAGCAGACAAGTACATTCAAATGAAAGACCGATATGGGTCACTTGCAATTATGGATGTGAACCATCAATATAGATATATCTGAATTAAAAGCAGAATTTAGCAAAAAGTTTGTAAATGAACATTACCTTGGATCAATAATAATAATAATAATAATAATAAAAAGATTTCTCTAAAACAGAAGAAAATGATCCATTTATAATCTATTTTCTCAGAATTTTAACAAGACTCAATTTTAATTTAAGTTATAACCACTCCAACATATAATTTTTATCATATCAAAGCTTCTTTTGAAAGATTTACATGGAGGATGAAGGTAGATGAAAGAAATGTCCACATAAACCTTTAAAGGATTGAGAAAATACACTAGTATAATGTTAATATTATGAAACACACTATTCACTACCCGTGTTATGTGTTATCATTTAGGGGTGTCTAAGACTGAAATTGATACCTCATGATAATATTAACACCCAGAGAGGATCAGCTATGGAAATAAAAAGATAACAGAAATGAATGGAAGCGAGTGGAAGCTTTTATCCCATCTCTGATAAAGCTCATTAACATTCCAATAGGACGAGTCATATCATGCTCTGAATGGGCGATGACGGTGTATCAAACTAGGCTTTGTGTATGTGTGTGTGTGTATAGCTAACAGTAGATATTGGTGTTTTTTGTTTTAGGAGTTTTGTGAAAGAGATATCTTTCTGTTCATATGAACCATGGCAGTATTTGCTGACTAAAGTCATTTAAGAGCAAAGTGTGTTAATTGTGTCACTCTGTGATCTGTTTGTGTTGTTAGATGGTAGTTGTTATAGACTGCCAGAAAGTGTTATTGTATTTGTAATTACAATAAAATATTTATTCTTAAATAACTGGTACTAAAGTTTTGGTCCAATAAAAAAAAAATAAGATTAGCCTTTTATTCAAGACTTACTGAGATTTCTCTTCCAAAATACAATGGGACTAAATAAACAGAATTGTAAATGCTGTCTAACCCGTAAGAGCTATCAGGTCTGGTCTCTCTTATACTCAGAGGTGGCCACCATAAGCTGCTTCATCATTCCTGCCAATTCTCATGAGGCTGTACACTGTGCTTACTTGACATTTCCTATTGATTTTGGTGTGTGTGGGGGTAAGGGAATGCAGCATGAATGAGAATGGATTGGTTTACTTTAGCAGTAAACATTTGTATACATATATGCGCATGTTTTGTTATGTGTGCATCTTCATCAAACTGCCCTGTTCTCTTTGAGTTCTTCCTATTCTCGTGTGAATGGTATATAAATTAAAAGGAACACTATGCTCAGGATGCAAGGCGAAGCTAACAGGGCAATACTAATCTGCATTTCAGTGGTCAGTTTTGTGCTCGTGTTTAATCACGTTAACAGAGCCGCGTCAAAACATATTAAAGATTCATGAAGCTCATCTCCATGAAGCTTGGTGTCCGGATGAGCGTGGAAGCAGCATTAGTTATAATTATGCTCCTGAGGCCTTAGTCACTCGCTTTGCTCCTTTGTGCGATAAACTCCATTTCCCAAGCCTTGGGAGGTTTATCATGTGTCACGTTGTTTTTTTTCTGCTTCATCATAGGCACAAGTGCTTATGAACAGAGGGTGTTAATAGGTGCTAAGTCACTGTGCTAATTGCTGTGTTGTAATTAGTACATGTCCATCTGGTGTGTGAGACTGTGTGGGTAACATTTCAGAGGTAAGGTGACGGTGCGAGTGTGTTTGCCCAGGGCACTGTGTACACGTATAGGTGTGTGTGTGTGTGTGTGTGTGTGTGTGTTTACACAAGGTGGGAAGCCAGTAAGACAACACACCTTGTGAAACCATGGTGATGTTCATTGTGACAGCCTAAGCGTACAACAATATTTAGTTATTTCCTTCTGTTCTTTCATTAAGTTGTGGATGGCAAAGCAACTTGAACAAACATGCGCGCACAAACACACACATACAGCAGTAGCAGGCAGAGAGGTCCTGTCATTAGTGCCGGCAAATCCAGTTAACTTTTACTTCCTTTTCTGCAGCGACATTAGGGTATCTCAACGTGTGTGTGTGTGTGTGTGTGTGTTGAAAGCAGCAGCATATTTTGATTCACATCCTCACACACACACCACACGCACAACACAATTTGTCACATCAATGTTTTTGGTTGAGTAAAATGGTAAGAAGTTTGTGTGTTTGTGTGTGTGTGTGTGTCTTGATGTGATGAACAGCAGTATTAGAATATCCTCATTATGTTGAGTGGCTCTTGAGACAAGAATAACAATCTCCATTACAATGACATGGCTTACAAAACAAGCAAAACACACAACCTGACAAAACATGCACACACAAGTACACAAGCAGTTAATCTTCTATTTGAGCTGCCTTCCCAGCTCTGAGATCCGACAGATAGATTAGCCAGTTCTAGGAAATCGATTCGCAATAATTCAGTGTAAAACAGGAAATGAAACCCCTTTATAGATCAAGTCGCTGACCATATTCCTGTCATTGAAGAAACATTCCCACATCACTCACTACCTCTGTATACAAGCTCTCATGTGGTCAGTCAGTCATTTATTCACTACCACTCTAACTTAAATCTCAAGCAGGATGTAAAATGATATTTAAATAGCAAAACTAGGACTTCATTATGAAATATGTGTCTATGTGTGTGTTTGTGGTTTGTTTGCCAGTAATGTCTAGAAATGTTGACTGTGTGGTTACAAGCTAGATATACACTCACAAAGCACTTTATTAGGAACACTATACCAATACTGGGTAGGGCTTCACTTTGCTCTTAAAACAGCCTCAAATTCTTTGTGGCATGGATTCCACAAGATGTTGAAAACATTCCTTTGGGATTCTGGTCCATGCTGAAATGATTGCACCATGTAATTCCTGTAGATTTTTAAAACCTCAGACAGGTGAAGTGAATAAAATGTATTATTATATAGATTACCTTTTTACAGTGGCACCTGCCAAAGGGTGGGACATTATAGGCAACAAGTGAACAGTCAGATCTTGAGTCAATTTGATGTGTTTGACACAGGGAAAATGGGCAATAGTAAGGCCCTGAGCGACTTTGAATTTTGTGATGGCTAGACGACTGGGTCAGAGCATCTCCAAAATGTCAGGTCTTGTGGGTGTTCCCAGTATGCAGTGGTTAGCACCTACCAAAAGTGGTCCAAGGAAGGACAACCGGTGAACCGGTGACTGGGCCATGGGTGCCCAAGGCTCACTGATGCGAGTGGGGACCAAAGGCTAGACCGTCTGGTCCGATCCCACAGAAGATCTACTGTAGCGAATTTGCTGGCTATGATAGAAAGGTGTCAGAATACACAGTGCATTGCAGCTTGCTGTTTATGGGGCTACGTAGCCACAGACCAGTCAGAGTACTCATGCTGACCCCTGTCCACTGTTGAAAGCACCTACAACAGGCACATGAGCATCAAAGCTGGCCCATGGAGCAATGAAAGAAGTGTACTGGTCTGATGAACCATGTTTTCTCTTACATCATGTGGATGGCTGGGTGCATGTGCATCTGGGGAGCAGATGGCACCAGGATGCACTATGGGAAGAAGGCAAGCCAGCGGAGGCAGTGTGGTGCTCTGGGCAATGTTCTGTTTAGAACCTTGGGTCCTGGCAATCATGTGGATGTACCACCTACCTAAACATTTTTTCAGATCATGTACACCCCTTCATGTTACCTAATGGCAGTGGCCTCTTTCAGTAGGATAATGTGCACTGCCACTGCAAAAGTGGAAGTGGTAGCTCAGTGGTTGGGACGTTGGACTTATGATCGGAAGGTCATGAGTTCAAATCCTAGCACTTCCACTGCTCGACTCTTGAGAAAGAGTTGTTCAGGACAAAGGTTTCAAATTCAAATTCCCCAGAATGTGCCGGACAAGCAAGTCCAATCCATGGAGGACTTAAAGGATCTCCTGCTAACGTCTTGGTGCCACATACCACAGGACAACTTCAGAGGTTCAGAGTTCGTGGTCAGGGTTGTTTTGTTGGCACAAGGGAGACCTACACAATATTAAGCAGGTGATTTTAATATTATGGCTGATCAGTGTAAATTGTGACCAGGAAGGGATGAACATGGTCAGCAACAATACTCAAATAGGCTGTGGCATTCAAGAAATGATTGATGGATATTAACAGGCCCATTGTGTGCCAAGAAAGCATTCTCCACACATTTACACCACCTCCACCAGCCTTGACTGTTGAAAAAAGGCAGGTTGGGTCTATGAATTCATGCTGTTGGTGCCAAATTTTGACCCTACCATCTGTGTGCCTCAGCAGAAATCGAGAATCATCAGACCATGTTGACATGATTGCATCATGCAATTTCTTCAGATTTTTCAGGTGCACGGTCATGCTGAGAATCTTCAGTTCTACCACATACCAAAGGTGTTCTACTAAATTCAGATCCGGTGACTGTAAAGACCACTGAAGAACGTTGAACTCATTGACATGTTCATCAACCAGTTTGAGATGACTTTTGTTTTTTGACATGGTGCATTATCATGCTGGAAGTAGCCATTAGAAGATGGTAAATTGTGGCCATCAAGGTATGCACATGGTCAGCAACATTACTGAAATAGGCTGTGGCATTCAAGCGATAATTGATTAGTATTAACAGGCCCAAAACATTCCCCACATCATTACACCACCAGCATGGACTGTTGACACAAGGCAGGTTGGCTCCATGGATTAATGCTGTTGGTCTTAAATTCTGACCCTAACATCTGTGTGCCTCAGCAGAAACCGAGATTCATCAGACCAGGCTATGTTTTTCCAGTCTTCAACTGTTCAGTTTTGGCACCATAGAATAAACTCTAAAGACTGTTGTGTGTGAAAATTCAAGAAGATCAGCAGTTATAGAAATACTCAAACCAGCCTTTCTAGCACCAACAATTATGCCACGGTCAATATAACTGAGATTCCATTTTCCCCCCTTTCTGATGGTTGATGTGAACATTACCTTAAGCTGCTGGCCCGTATCATCATGATTTTATGCATTGCATTGCTGCCACCAGATTGGCTGATTAGATAATTGCATGAAAGTGTAGGTGTACAGGTGTTCCTAATAAAGTGCTCAGTGACTGTATAGGCCAGACACAGTGATATATTGTTTCAAATTGGCTATTTGCTTATAAGTGCTACAACTCTGCTATGCTTATTCTGTCTTAATGTGAACTGCTGCTCAAATCTAGAGATAGTGAGATGAGTGCTCTTTCAGTGAGTGCAATATGCACAGTGGTATTTTTCACATTGCTGACTGTATTTACAGTGTATTAAAGTAATGACTCATCTCTAATACAGAACATACCATATGTGAATCACGATTACATACTAACAGATTATTTCCGATCAAATAGTATGGCTACAGTCTTACGTGGGTGAAAACGAGCCAGTGAAACCACTCAGCAGACTTCAAGCTCTGGACCTCACGATGAACCCCATGACCCAAGTGTCTTGTGACACTGTGTAGTGGCCTTTCACGCCGAGGACTGTCATGGCATGTGTTAAAAATTTGTTCTTATTGGATATATGCACCGGCCAATCTTATTATTGGAGCTCCCGTGATTAAACACAGTGATTGGACATCTGAAGTGCCATGGCGAAGACAACAGAAATCCTGAACCTGTCCTTCCTCCAGGAGCACGAGCGAGAGATGATCCTCAGCGTCCTGCAAAAAGATGAGAAACTCCGCAAACGAGAGGAAAAGCGCATCAGGTAGTTGCTCCCTTTTTATTCTTTTTACTCTGAGATTATAATATGCATATATTAATGGGAAAAATGATTGACAGTACTTTTGTGGCACTTTAGAACACTGACCAGGTAGCTGATTGGTTTTTATAATTATTCCCCTCCCCCTTATCCTTGTTAAATCATATATTGTTTTAGTCATTAACCCCAGAAACTCCCTTATTATTCAGCTGATCATTTTAAAACATTTTATTCAGAGTCTACTGTGATTAACTAAGGGGTGGCAAAAAATACACAAGGGACTGTAGGGTGTTGAGTGGTGAGAAACTAACATGTGGCATGGCAAAAAAGTTGAGCTGTATTCCACTTTATGCAAATTAAAAACAGCAGCTATGTAGCTCTGGCCAATTGTCACTTGAGAGCCATGTGCTGTTATCTGACTGCAAGGAATGGTCGGCAGTTTTATAAGAAGATCTCAGTTCTTGCTAATGTACATTCAGGTCCAGAATTATTGGCACCTCGGTAAAGATGGATTTATGATTCACATTTAAACAATGAGCCTAAAATTTCAATTTGTGCTGAGGTGGTCCCAGACTGTAAAAAGTTTGAGAAGCCTTGATTCAGAGTATTAATTCTCAATGGTAAAAATGGGTAGCAATTTCTGATTGGTGGTTTCTCATGCAAGTTCCTTCCTGTCTGCAGAAAGCTGAAGAACGAGCTTTTGGAGCTGAAGCGTCGTGGTCGGCGTGGTAATCCTGAGCAGCGGGAGTGTGGCGTGTGTCTACGTGCTCTGGGTCTAATCCTCCAGAGGGGCAGTGTGTGTTTTGAGTGTCACCGTCGTGTCTGCAGCTACTGCACAGCCGTGCCCTCAAACAGCGGCAACACCAAGTGCACTGTCTGTGCCAAATCTGCGTGAGTCACGAGTTAGAGATGTTCTAGTTGTTTCCAAGAGGTAGTCTCAGCCCATCATTGGCCACTATAATTGTTTCTATCATCACATTATAGCTACTAAATTTGGATTGTATAAAAGTAACGTCATATGAATCCCATCACCAGGTCTCCTAGCTGCCATGTACACACCTGCGCACACACGCACACACACACACACAAACAAACAAACACAAAACAAACCAGCTCATCATGCTTGGAGAAGCATGCTAACTGCTCATCCCTGTGTGTGTGTTTGTATGTATGTGTAAGACCTAACAGATGTTCTAGCTATCATTATTTTCTATCAACAGGGAAAATGATTCTGTGATACACAGCTAGCTGTATAAAAGATCTTCTAAACATAGTGCCAATTTTTTTGTTCAAATCTTTTTGCATTTTTAGGGAGCTGAAGGTGGTCACAGGCGAGTGGTTTTTTGAAGAACGGGCCAAGCGCTTTGAACGCATGACCGTCCCTAGCAGTGATGTTGTCAAACAGTCCATCCTCAGCAGTGTTCCAGGTAAACAACACACCTTGTTTAAATTACACACTAATTACACATTCATTTTGCAAGCTATTAAAATACCCTAAATAGAAACGCCTGTCACACTGTCAACAGGGTTTACACAAGTTACAAGGTTTCTTTATTTTGTGAAGACATCTGTTGTGAAAAAAAATCTCTGAAAATATTTAGTTAACTTTGACCTTAAAAATTTATATTCATTTCTTGTTTGAAGATGGACACTCTGACCACAAGAAGCTTTCCCCATCAGGACTGGACCGGCCAGCCACGCCTCAGTCTGAGCGGTCAGCCTCGCCCCAATCGGAGAAGAGTGTTGGCCGGTATATATTCAAGAAGAAAGGGTGAGGAGTGTGATTTGTGTGTACTTAACCTACATTATTGTTTTTAGTACACATACAAAATAAATGTTCACACCCACTTATTAAGATCCTGGTAATTAGTCTTTGCCTTGAGTTAGGTGTGTTGGAGCAACAGCAAGTTTTGCACACAGCCTATATTAATCATGATTTCTTCTGCATTTGAAAGTATAAAAGTCATCTATCTACTAAAGCTGAAGCTGTTTGTGTCTCTTAGGACCAGACCGGTGGCTGTAGAGTCATCGGGGTTACCGACGACACCAAATAACATGCGCGCACACCCACGCCGATCTCCGTCACAGGCTGAAGGAAGGAAAAGGGTATGACAAACATGTCTGTTACAGCTCTACAGTATCTCACAAAAGTGTGTATGCCCCTCACATTTTTGTAAATATTTGATTATATCTTTTCATGTGACAACACTGAAGAAATGACACTTTGCTACAATGTAACGTAGTGAGTGTACAGCTTGTGTAACAGTGTAAATTTGCTGTCCCCTCAAAATAACTCAACACACAGACATTAATGTCTAAACTACTGGCAACAAAAGTGAGTACACCCCTAAGTGAAAATGTTGAAATTGGGCCCAAAGTGTCAATATTTTGTGTGGCCACCATTATTTTCCAACACTGCCTTAACCCTTTTGGGCATGGAGTTCACCAGAGCTTCACCGGGTACAACTGGAGTCCTCTTCCACTCCTCCATGATGACATCATGGAACTGGTGGATGTTAGAGTGCTCCTCCACCTTCCGTTTGAGGATGCCCCACAGATGCTCAATAGGGTTTAGGTCTGGAGACATGTTTAGCCAGTCCATCTCCTTCACCCTCAGCTTCTTTAGCAAGGCAGTGGTCGTCTTGGAGGTGTGTCTGGTGCCATTATCATGCTGGAATACTGCACACTGATCATGCTCTGCTTCAGTATGTCACAGTACATGTTGGCATTCATGGTTGTGAAGGGTGTACTTACTTTTGTGATATACTGTGTGTGTGTGTGTATATATATCTCTATATATATATATATATATATATATATATATATATATATATATATATATATATATATATATATATATATATGCATTAGATCCTAATGGGATGCTAAATCAAAGGCAAGTGCATTTGGAGGGTAAACCACTTAAGGCTGTAGAGGAAAGACTTAGACATTGTTAGCATCAATTCATTTATATCTTCTCTTTACTTAGATTTTATAGTTTGTAACATGAATACATTGCTTTAAGTTAAATTTGTGGGTTCAGAATATGCACATTTATGACACAGGCTTTTTATAGATTTTAAATATTTATTTTTGTC